GGCATCCATAGGTAAAGCAGAGGGGGGAATATAAAATATTGGTGAGAGACACCTGTTGTAAAGTCAGCTAGATGAGAGAAAGGATGTCCTTGAACAGCATAAACTGCAGCTCTATAAATACAATAATCCATGTCAAATCTTATCTAAAATCTCAAAAATCCCAACAAGCATTGCCCTAGTAAAGCAAGTACTTCTGTGTGAGCTGACAAAGTGATGTTTTCTCAAATGCTGTGCCTTTTTCTTGCAGCTGAAAAGCTGTATGCTGAAAAAGTGATGGGTGCAAGCGAATGTCCTTAAGCTTGGAGTGTATTAATGGCATTTGGATACTAAGTTATCACTAGGTGTGCAAGGGTACACAATGCCCTGTGCTCTCTTCTTTCACGAAGAGCTGACTTCAAGGTCAGATTATTCATGGCCCTGTTCCAAATGCAAAGAATTTACATAAAGGTCCACAGCTCAGTTGTATTTCTTCTTCCCCAAAGTTACAACCTTCACTTATTTTAAGAATGGGAATGTGCTGTGGAGAAATTCTAAAATCCAGCCTGAATGTTGGTCGCTGCAGCAAGACTGCTGTGCCTTTAAGAAGCGGTAGGAAGGTGACAATTTTGCGAGCTTGTCTGATTATCTGCTTTAGGTAATTGAATTAATGCAGCTCGTGTGTGTGTTAAAGTCTCCAAAGCATAGTTGTGACCTCCTTTGAGATATGAATGGGATTCTGTAACTACTACTCCTCATTCTTGATAGCTGCTCACACGCTGTGAGGGGACTGAAAAGAATTTTGGCTCCTGCTAAAAACTGTCAATTAGATTATTTGGAGAAATTTTGTTTTGATTTTGAAACCGAAAAGAAGCCAAGGTAAGGATGAATGACTGAGCAAAAAAAGGAAAAAAAATAACACCTCAAACCCTACATTTTTGGCCAAGCTGATTCTTGGGACATACAACCACATGGAGGGTCACCTGGGCTAATTGTGCTACTGTAGCCAGCGCTCAGCAACTGTCCTAGATGCTGCACTCGGGACAGCACGTTCCATGTAGCAGAAAATCTGCGTCTTGGCAGAGGGGATGATGCACGAGTGACTTGTGTGCTCCTTTCCTGCTTTCTTTAAGGGGAATTCTGAATAGTGGCTTACACACAGCTACCCGCTGTGAGGCTGTCTAGGCTTTGGAAGGGGTTGCTGAAAGGAGACTTCTGCAAACATCTGGGATAGCTTGTCCGTGCTGCCTGTGAAACAGGGGAAATGGCGGAGTCAAGAGCTGAAGTGAACAGGTCAGTAATACTCCACTGCTTTGGAAGTCTTAAGCCTAAAATTGATCTAAATGCCAGGCAGAAGCTGTTGGCCTCGTTGGTTCCATGGCGTATCAGGTGCCCAGGTTTAGGCTCTCGAGAACACTATGCTGCATTTCCTGGCCCTTTTCAGCATCTGGAAGAGGTATTTTGCCTATGAAACTGTGCCTAAGTAACATCTCCCTCTTAAAAGAAAAGTGACCTGGGAGGTAAAAATAGTCAAAGACAGTTGCCCTCTGGTCCTGTAAACAAAAAAGTCACGGAGCGCCTCTGGGTGACGTGTTGCAAAGTGCGGTACCCACGAGGGATTGTCCTGTTCCGTGTCTGGAGTGGGTAATTCCTGCAAGCGGGCATGGATAGATCCACCTGCTGCTCTGTGCAGCCCCGGGCAGGCTCCTGTGCTCCCTGCGGAGCTCGGAGCTGTTGGTACCTGCTCTGGGGGCCCTGCACACCTTTATTCCGGTTGGAAAAATACAGTGGTGGAGTTAAATAAATAAAATTAAAATAAATTAAATAAAAATAAATTAAAAATAATAAAAATAAAGAAAAAAGAAATAAAAAATAAAATAAAAATAAAATATTTCCGTCGTGCCCCTGCAGGACCCCTAGGGCTGTGGAGCCTCCGCGGCGCCAGGGGGCGCGGCGCGT